TTGGAAAAAGTAATTTGGTCCCAAAGAGGACCTTCAAAACATTTAAGCAGATAATTATTGTGGTACAAATTTGGAAAGTGCGGGACACGCGCAATGATTGCGTTTGAAAAAAAAAAATATTTATTCTTTAACTTTATTGGAGAATCAAGACGTGGTGTTCACGTGCAGTTGTCCGCAACGATTGTTGGCATGCGTTACGGCCTAATTTTTGGCTCCCCAATTGGGCCTATAATAAAGCCCATTATTTATTTATTTATTTATTATTTTAATTACATAAAAATATTAATTATTTTTATTATATAAAAAAATTAAGAAAAATATTTTTATTTTAAAATAATACAATAATTTAATTAATAATTCTTAAAAAAATTTCGATAATTATTTTGAATATAAATAAATAAATAAATAAATTATTTACAAGCATTTGAAACCCATTGAGTTTTAGGCATGGGACAAGTAATGTAACAAGTCACGGTCTCCATTTCTCTTATATATATATATATATATACACATAACGTATATAATATTTATAATGGTATATGGTCCATAATTGGACCGACATAAGTGCAATCATAGGTCCAAAGTTTCAATTAATTTATTCTTATAATTAAAATTTTAATTTAATTAATTAGCTTATATGGACCCATTACATATATATATATATATATGTATGTATGTATGTATGTATTATTATGGTACATTATTAAATAAATCAATCATGCACATCTAACATATGCTTTGCTTGTAAAACCCTCTTTGCTTTTCCAATTATTATTTATTTATTTATTTTTTTGGTCACATCCCATATGTCCTATGTCCATCTTAGCTTCACAATTACCATTGATATTATACATACATATACATATAGTTTGGAAAGGTGACAAAACCCTATATTTTTTTTTGTTATAAAACCAATAACTCATTAAAAAAAATAGATTATTTTTTGAAATAATTTTTAGATCTTTAAAGGCTGAAACTTGTATTTATGTAAATTATCGAATGATCAGAAAAGAAGATTCGAAATTTTACGAATAATGCAAAGTTGAATTTGTTAATTTTTGAATACAAAGATATCGAATGAGTCTACATAAAGTTGACATTTTCGGTAACTCACATAAAATATTGTAAGTTTTTAAGATAAACTTATTAAAAAATTAAAAGGGTATAATATACTTTGATATATGATTTTATCAAACAATTGGAAGAAACAACCAAAAAAAACCCTTGTAATTGGCTTATCTTTTAATATATATATATATATACATACATACATGTATAGAGAGAGAGAGAGAGAGAGAAATTGGAACATAATGAGTGTAGTGAAAAGATTCATGCCACACAATAAGATAAAAAAAAAAAAGAAATGTAATTATGAAGAGAATTTCAGCTTTGTAAAACTTTCTCTTGCCACACTTTTAAGTTTTATACTTTTTTTTTTTCACTTTTAATGCCTTTTATTATTCTCTTTACAAAAATTTCCCTCAATTTTAGCATTCATTTTTTCAATTTACTTTCTTTTTTTTTTTCTACTTTTAAGAGTCAATTTACTGAATAAAATTATGAAATCTTAGGAAAAAAAAAAAAAGTCTCAATTTTTGCATTCAATGCCAAAAGATAGAATGCTTAAAACATGAACTTGAATGGTTTGGTAATTACCATCATTAATTTACTAGCCATTTTAGAAGATTGTAAGGAAGATATGAAAAAATTCCAGTCCACAAATTCTTAAAACATCAACCCAAACAGAGAATCTATGGAAATATCATCTTCAACATAGCTGGGTACTTGATCCCCATCTGTTTTACGATCACATTAATGGAGATACTCTTGCTTGAAGACTCCACAAGAGTGTATTTCAAAAGAAATTTAATGGTCAAGAGCCAATGAGTGTTAAAAGTTCAGAGCTTGATTTTCATATCTGCGTGCTGAAATCGGGGAGAGATGTATGGTTGTTTAGCGGTGGATTCGTGGATGAGAGAGGCCCAAGAAGCATTAACAGCGTTGGAAGATTTAGAAACGAAAATCAAGAACCAGAGTATGGAGATTGGTCGATCCAAGCTTGTGGAAGTTGGAGTCAAGCTCGATCGGCTCGAAGCCCTTTCTTCATAACCCACCTTCAAAACCCATCTTGTATGTTCCTTCTTTCCTTTTTCTCTTCAGTTTTCTTGTTCTTTTGTGGATGAAATGATTCAATGGGGATCTGGGATTAGGAGATTTACTATATGGGTATGTGGTATTTTGTTCTGTGTTTGCTAAGTTTTGGTCGGATTGGGTTCTGGATTTTACTCTTTATGTATCTGGGTTTGGTTATGGAGGTTGCTTGCTGGGAGATTTTGCCTTAACCAGATGGAGCCATGGAGGAGTTCTATGTATGCGGGGAACTTGTTTTGAGCTTCTTCAATTTTTGTTGATTTTGATTTTGGATTTTACCGTTTATATATCTGAGTTCAGTTGCGGAGGCTGTGATATTTTGCATAGATAGTTGTAATTGACTTCTGGTGGTATTAGTTATCATATTCTTCAGGTGTTTGTATAAATTCCTCCTTCGATGTTCTTAATGTTTTCTGTAACTTCTCAGTTGCAATCCGTCAAACGAAAAATTGATTCTAATATTTAGTTCAATCATCTCTTGGAAGTTGGAATCTATTCAAATTTGTTTCGACTTTCATATATTATTGAAATGAACAATCAGACTAAAGATTTTGCCTTTTTGGATTGAAGCTGAGCAAGTTGTTTGGCTGTATAATGAATGGCTAGCATTTAAGTTGTGTTTTTTGTTGAGTTCAGTTCTATCTTCTTTTAACTCTTAAATATTAATCATCTGGTACCTGAAAGTTACCCATTTTTTATTTTGGTTTGTAAGTTAAACTCGTCATTTCATCCGTTCCCTAATGATATGTTTTTACTTCCACTTGTCAACGCAAGAATCACAAGAAAACACCTAACTTGAGTTAAATATAAATATAGAATTTAACTTCGAATTAGAATGCTACTCATCCGGATTTTTTAATTCGCTTATATATTCTATATAACTGAAATTTGAACGAAGCTCAACCTAAAATAGTTCGTAATCCCTTTTAGTAGATTGTAGTGGGTGGTGTTTTGATTTCTGATTCGTCTATTTGGTTTTATATTATATGCATTTGTTTGAGATTCCTTATGCCGGTTTAGTTGTATGGTAACGTGTTCCTGCAGTGAATTTGCAGAACTGAAGAAGATTTGGGATACCGATGGAAAATGCTCTCCGATATCCAGCTGAGAACAAGGGCAGTGGCTCTCAGCCTATATGCACTGCCATCACAAAACAGGTAAAGATCTTCTCGTGTTCATTTCTCCTTGAAAGCCACATGTAACAGGAGGACTCAAAGCAAGTAAAGTGTTTGACTGCTATGAAGTTAATTTTTAAGTAAGAAATAACCCATTTCGAAGAAATAAAATGTTTCTTTTTAATGTTTCTTCATATGAATGCTGCATTGGGGTTACTAATTGTATTTCCTTGGGCGTAAACCGTATAATTCAGTTATCTAGCCCTTTTCTTTTCTTTTCACAATTCCGTATATCTAGTGTTGATTCCAATTGAAAAAATCATTCAGTAGGGAGCCTCTACCATACGACATCAATCACTATCTCATTTATCAAATAATGGGGCTCATATATACATGAATTAAACAATGTAAAAGATAATAGAACCAAAAAGTCACTCATTTGGATCCCTAAATCTATGCAGGCCAGGAGGCTCAGCTGTTCCAATCACCAAAGGAACCAATATAAATTCCAACAGCCATTATGAAGGTACAATCTAATATCTCTGGTGAAGGATGCATTATTTACTGCAATTTTACTTTTGAATCCTTTCTGACGTTTGTGAGAAGATACTCTTAGCAGAGGAGAAAGTAATATGGTGCGTCGATCTATTTGCATACGTTTTTGGGTTCTTGTGGCTAGCCCACCCCTTCAATTTTATCATTTGTCTTTTATTGAATTTATCCAAGAAGCTGCTCTATCAAAATTATTTGAATCATAATTAGTATTGTTTAGTTTCAAGCAACTCAGAGCAGTAAACCGTCCTATAACTAACACCTAGTTATCATACAAGCTCACGTTCATCCATCCTCTTTCCAGCCCACCTTGTGCATCAGTTACAGATAGGCAGATGAAAGCATCTAATTAGACCGGGAATAATTACTTAGTGCTTGGAATATGAGGCTTGGGTTAGCTGAAGTAAGACAACTGATGCTGACAGTGCTAGTTCTACCATTATTTCTTTCTCAACACCTCTAACTGGTTGGCAAAACAGGCTTTAGAGGCTTAACTGTTTTTTTGCTGCCAAGTGGGGGGATTCCATAGCATGAAGATCTACTTAAGGTCGTAACTACATTAGTGATGAATTCTTTGATTCACATTTGAGTGATTTATCCATAGTGGACATCCCAATAGGAAGTCGAAAGAAAAAGACTTTCATTCGAAAGGTACGAAGATGGTGTTACCCATGGCAAATTACACAAAAGTATTGGACAAAATATTTATAAGGTTTCCAAGGTCTTTCTCTGTGATCTTCTCTATCAAGAAAAATATTGTCCTTAAAACAAAAGGAGAAAAGTGTGGAACCAGTGGTCTCTAGTTGTAACAAACGAAGCATAAATGCCCTCGAGAACTTTCCAATTTTTTCTCCATAACCAAAAGATTGCTTTGGAGATGAGAGAGACAAGCGCCTTGTTAACACAACCAAATCACTAACCATTGAAGTTGGGAGGTAAATCCCACAACCTTTCAACTTCTGTATAACCAGAAGAAAGATGATCAGAGGATTCATTGCCCTTCAAACAAAAGAAACACTTAGAAAATCTCTTCTTCTTCTCGTCATGCAAACATGGTAAAACGTATTCAAATGCACATGAATATGCAACATATAAAGCAATAACAAGTATTTATTAGGCAATAAATTTCTAAAATTTGATTCTTATTTTTGCGGTTTGTGTTTTGATGCAGATCAAATGAAAAGTTTATTTTCGAATGATGACCCTGAGCTGCTCAAACCTCTTGTTGTAAGTTTTCATAATTAGATAATATATTGTTGTTGAAACTGTGCTGGTCAGGCTTGTGACAGTCCCCATGATGTCCTTCCCTAATGCAGCCAGATGACCCAACCTCAAGCCAGGGCGTATGTCATTCGAACTTTTGGCCAACAATCTACTAGTTAAGTCTTCACTATCATTTCTTTCTCAATCTATTTTTATGTGCATTGGCAGGCAAAGCAATGTAGTAATGGTATCTGTAGGAGTTTTCTCTGGAGAGCCGGTCAGGCCATCTGCATAATTCTTGGAGCAGTTGTTGTTCTGGTCATCTTGGTTGTCCTCTGCTCAGTTATATAATATACTCTGTTCACTGTCAGTATTCTATCCAAGATGATTTATTTGTAAGCTTGAATCTTTACTTCATTTTTACCCAAAAATAGCAACTAACCAGATAGTCTTTCTCTTTAATTTTTTTTCAGCATCTGGCATTTGAACAGATATGGAGGCCTTGCTACAGCATCAAATGTATAGTTACAACTCTGCATGCCAGTACCGGAATGAATGATCTATTACTCAATCTCAGGCCTCTGAAAATCTACATAAAAATACATTACAGATACCTTTATGAAGGGGATCGCTTGTTTTCTTCATCTTCGACCAAAAGAGTTCAAAAATTGGGTTGCTGGAGGGTCCCCTGGGCTGACTGTGGACAGGCTTCTTTCAAAGAATGGCTTTATAAGAGCTAAACCTCTTAGATTTTGAATCCGTTTTTTTCTTTAAATTAATTTCTAGCTTTGCTGCTCCTTTTGCTGTTTTCCCAGCTAACATCTCTCTGCTTTCGACTACATGGGAATGACCTCTGAAAGAAGGCACTTCTAGTAGTAGTATTTTTTCGAAGAAGCTAAAGTGTTTGGTGGTGGGTACAACGGTTTTTACACTAGCTTTTTGTCTTGCCAACACCAAGAATGTGTAGAAATTGCTTTGGCAGATTCTGTAAAAACCCATTTGAACTTCTCTCAGCTATGCATACAGGATTCTTGTACTTGGATTAGTGGACACTGTTTCCTTACAAGCCGAGTTGGGTAGCGGACGAATTCGACTCGTCAAATTTTGGATAAAACGGCACAATGCTCTTTACACTTCTATATGCTATACTCAGTTATCTAATTTGTATTTATATCTGGTTAGAAAAATTTAGGCAAATTTTGACATGATTTGTTCACACAATAAGAGATTCAGACACAGAATTACTTGAAGAATGAACCATTATAGATGATCTCACAAGTATTTTAAACATGTTATAAAATCGATCCATTTAAAAGCACCAGGTGGTTTAGAGATTCATTTTACCACTCCATTTATGGTGAGTTTCATGTTATTTAAACATTTATTATTTGCTTCTAATGCAAATGTTTGATACTAGCACAACCAAGACCATGTTACCTCTTACTTACTCATATATAATAGCTCACTTAGGCTACCGAAGCGGAGAAAATTTATTGTTGTTATTTCAACGGAAAAAAAAAGTTACAATAAAATATTCATTTCGTTTGAATATGTCATGACTCGTTGGATAAAATTCAATTTAGTCAACACATTAATAAGTTAAGGTTTTGATTTTATTAAATCAAATATTATAAACTGTTCATTTATATTCGTAGAGTGATAAATTTTATATCATTGATAAATTTCAAATTCATGACATTTAAAAAAAATATAAAATTTTTAATAATTAGATCACCCTACTATGTTGTTAGTAAAAATTATCTCTTTTTCGTACTAAAAATTACCTTAACAACTATAATTAAAACATATAAGCACTTCATCATACTCACAATAAATTCTGATTGTTGTGGTGAAATTTGAGTGGAGGGCTTTCCTAAGATTGAATTTAACATAAATTCTAGCATATCTTCCTCAAATTATCAAAAAAATATAATGATCAAACTTTTAGAATATATATAAAATAGATGTCGAAGAGATATATTTTATGACGAACGAGAGTTGTAACCTTCGTTGTTTATTATTTTTATAGAATTTATTTAGTAATTAATACTAAATTTAAGTAGAAATGTTAGAAATTCGATTAGAAATAGTAAAACAATAGTCTTGTATAGTTTAATATAAATTTTTAAATTTATTGTGGTTAATAAATATTTTAATTTATACTTAAAAACTCTCTCTAAACTTATTAAATATAAATTTTTAAATAAATCTTATAAAAATACAAAAGATGATGATAATAAATCAAAAAAAAAAAAACAGAAAACTCTTTGAATACCATTTTTTTTTTCTTTTTTTAGTAAATAGAAACTCCTTTAGGATACCTCTTTAGAATACCCTTTGGTTCTTTAGGAATGGTTGGTATGCATTAAGCCATTATAGATAGTGGCAATGAAATGGGTCACTAACATTTCTTGTCCACTTTCAGTTCTTAGTGCAGAAAATTGTATGTTAGATAAAAATTAAAATAATCCAATCTTGTTGCCAACTGCAATAACCTCCAAAGGCAAATCCAAATCCAAAGCTCTTTCCTTTTTTTTATTTTTTAAAGAAAACAAGAGGAATCTCAAGAGCCTTGTTTGCTGACAAATCTCAATCTCTCAGCATCTCTTTCTCTCTAGATACCTTCTCCTTGACCCTTTTCTTCCAAAATTTTCATTTTTACTAATGATACAATCAAGTCCTTCGGTTTTGACACTCGGGTTTTTCTTGGATTGTTAGATAGAGTGAAAAAGAGCTCTACTTTTCTCTGAAATTTGATTTGGTTTTTAGTGGGTATTTAGTTTTTGTGTGTCTATGGCTTCATCTGTTCTTTTTGCTGCAACTTCGGTTGCTGGGCTGCGCTCGTTGGCGGCTCAGGTGAAGCAACAGAGGGTCTGTGTTCGGTCTTCCCTCGACTCCCTCGAGACTAATGTTTCTGACATGAGCGTTAATGGTAATTTTTCCACCTTTTCAGCTTTAATTTGTGTTTTTTCCTTTGCAAGACTTTCTTTTCTGAGTTTTTTGGATTCTGGGTATTCTTGCTTTTGTTGGCTTTTAGGGGATTTTAAAGGTTTGATTGGAGATTTTTTTGGTTGTCGTTTCTGATTTTTTTTCAATCCTCGTAGATGAGCTTGAAAGGAATCTCTGGTGAATATAAATGTGGTAAAATTTTCAACTAAATTTACGTTCTGAAAGTTAGGGAGCTAGCTTAGAAATGAGGTGATATTGTAGACCTTATCTATATTGAAGAGCTTATAATGATACAACTGAGATAGAAGAAATTGGACAGTGAGGATTTAAAAAAAAATAGTAAGTTAACTTGACCCATTAACATCTGCTTAAGATGGAATTAACAGATGATTCTCTCTTCTGGCGAACAACCTGTTAGAGAATAGAAGGTTATGTTCCTATCAGTTTCCTAATCTCAAGCCATACCAGAATAATGCAGCACAGAAAGCTTCTACTTAATAAACTGATGCAAGCAACATATTTGATTATATAATGTAAATAAATTATGGAAAGCAGTATTCTTTTCCGGGTATTACTTGCTTAATTGTAAGATACACTTGGCTTTGTTGATTGTGTTGAATATTTTACTAGTTGGAGGTATTGCCTTTCCTCACACCTATAAATGTTTTTGGTGGTATACTTTCCAGCTCCGAAGGGTTTGTTTCCTCCAGAACCTGAACATTATAGGGGACCAAAGTTAAAAGTCGCTATTGTTGGAGCCGGGCTTGCAGGCATGTCAACTGCAGTAGAGTTATTGGATCAGGGCCATGAGGTGTCTTGTCTTACTTTCAGTGTTCACATATTATTTGAAGTACATGATTGTTTTGATGCCCTGATATGTAGAAAAAGGGTAGATTTATAAAGTAAATAGGTTTGACAGTTGTTCGATTTGGAAGTTAATTTGCATCATTGTATTTTCAGGCAATCGCTGTAATTAAATGGATGTTTTGGCTACTTTCAGGTGGATATATACGACTGTAGGTCTTTTATTGGTGGCAAAGTAGGTTCCTTTGTTGATAAACGTGGAAACCACATTGAAATGGGGCTACATGTTTTCTTTGGTTGCTACAATAATCTCTTTCGTTTGATGAAAAAGGTGAGAAAAGCTTCTCAATTCTTGTGATTTCACATGTCAGTAATTTTAGTTTCTTTATCTCTTGAAAATGACATAACTGAATTGAAGAGTACATTTAGAAGCTTGATGTGAAAACTGGTTTGGTACTTCCAAAGACAAGGGCTTGCTATCTTGATTATCTCTTCTTGTGCTTCTTTGTAACTTCTGCCTTTTTGTCACCATGGAATATATACCATATGACTTCTATATGGATTCAGTAAGCTTTTTAAAAGAAGAAGCTTTTTGACTTTAGATCTTGAAATAAGAATTCAAGTCTATGAATTAGTGAACTGTTTTCTAATTGACTAGATTTCCATCTGGTATATATTTCCATAACTTCTCTTTTATTCACGACTGATCTTCCTTTTACCTTTGAGCTGGGCACTCAATTAGTTTGTTTGTCCTGTCCTTCCCTTATATGTTGCTGAGCTGAAATTTCTTAAACAATCCTTTCGTTCATGCAGTAAAAAATTAAGTTAAAGATTAATTAATGATACAAATGTTGCTCATGCTACGTGAAAGGCCTATAGGAACTATGTGGAATGAAGTTAACTCAATCTCTCTCTGTCTCTGCTTTTGCAAGACTGCTGATTTTTTTTGATAAATCCTCCAATATTATGACGATTTGATTTATCCTGTTATGACAAAAAATGATGCTCTACCAAAATGGGGCCTTTATGCATCCAACCTTACGATACAGCTGATATAAAATTTACAGTGCTGCTCTTGCTTAATTTTCCACGAGATGATGTTTGAAGTATGCAGTATATCTCAACTTGCAATGTAGAATGTATTAATATGGTATTTTCAAATGTGGTCTCATCATATCGATGAAATTGCGGAACTTTATATAGTTAAAAGGTTTTGCTTGATTGGACAAGACTTGTGGCTGCCAGCGGCCAACATAGAATTATTATCCTCTTCATATGATATTTGGAAATTTGACTTCACAAGTTGAATTCTTGGTATATATTCCCTAAGACGGAACATAATCTCTGATATATTTCCCTTGAATAGGTAGGGGCGGATAAAAATCTACTTGTGAAGGATCACACCCACACATTTGTAAACGAAAGGGGTGAAATTGGGGGTACGATTCAAATCTGATGCTATCTTACATGATAAAAAGTTGTCATTATAGTAGCATCTTTATTAGTCGACATCACCTTCTAGCAAATTTGTTTGGAAGTAATTTTCTTCCAGCTGTAGTATTCTTGCGAAGAATATGAACATGAGGTAAACCAGCTCATTGCTCGATTCTGAACTTTTTTTTTCTTTGCAGAACTTGATTTTCGTTTTCCAATTGGAGCACCATTACACGGGATTCGTGCATTTTTGGCTACAAATCAGCTTAAGGTAATGCTTATAAGTATATGCGCTATTCTGGTTATACTGAGCTGTTTTGCTTATTGTTTTCATTGTCCTCACACATCTGTGAAGTATTCTTGTTTTGAGTGGTACATAGTGTCTTGCATCGCCCGCAGTAGATTATATATTTTGGACATTATTCTCTGCATGGAAAACAAAGGCAGATTTTTCTGTCTTCTTTAAGATTCATGTTAGAGCTGAACGAGTCAATAGGGAGGCTTCTTGTTCCATTGGAACTTTCTTATTCATAATATGATTTAAGTGCAGACTTACGATAAAGCAAGGAATGCTCTGGCTCTTGCACTAAGTCCAGTCGTGAAGGCTCTTGTTGATCCAGATGGAGCAATGGTTGACATACGAAATTTAGATAGTGTAAGAACAAAATATCTTAAGATTCATCACTTATTTATAATAAAGTCATATTTTTTTTTTCTCTTTTTTAATGTTCGTCCATCTAAAACATTTTACATCTAGAGAGCTTTATTTGACGTAATTTATTACCTATAGATAAGCTTCTCGGATTGGTTTATATCCAAAGGTGGCACTCGAACGAGTATCCAGAGAATGTGGGATCCTGTTGCATACGCCCTTGGGTTCATCGACTGTGATAACATCAGTGCTCGTTGTATGCTCACTATATTCTCATTGTTTGCCACTAAGACCGAGGCTTCCCTGCTGCGGATGCTCAAAGGTTCACCAGATGTTTACTTGAGTGGCCCCATTAAAAAATACATCACAGATAGAGGAGGCAGGTAACCTTTCATAATACCGGGTTAGACAGCTGCAATTGTTATTTAGAATTTTATTGATATTATTTCTGTCATTTATTAAAATTATTTTTAATTATTTTTTATTCTCTCTTCGCTAGAACAGGTTTCATCTTAGGTGGGGATGCAGAAAGATTCTCTATGATAGATCTGCAGATGGGCAAATACGTGTCACCGGACTTGCCATTTCCAAAGTAAATTACTTTCCGTGTTACTCACTTTGGATCAGAAACTAAATTATCGTTCGTGCATTTAAAGACGATTCTGGGTTATTGGAACTACTGACTTCTCGTAACTGTTAAAAGCTTTATATCAGAATTGTTAGTTAGTTCCATTAATCATTTTCGATCAAAGGATCTCAAGGGGAATTTACATTTGCTGATAACATTTTTCATGTTCTCGAGAGCTCATTTTGTGTGTTCCTATATAGGTGGATTTGATTGTTTGATTCCCGTAATTTTTAATGCTTGATTCTTCCATCTTATTCAGGCTACTAACAAGAAAATTGTGAAAGCTGATGCTTATGTAGCAGGTTTGAGGTTAACTCTTGTCTTTTGTTTCTATAGGTTTCTAGTTACTCAGGATAATAACTTTTACTCCTATTTTCCGTGGCAGCTTGTGATGTTCCGGGAATTAAAAGATTACTTCCATCCGAATGGAGGGAATTAAAATTTTTTGATAATATTTATGAGCTTGTTGGAGTGCCTGTAATCACGGTGCAACTTAGGTATAATGGTTGGGTCACGGAGTTGCAGGATCTAGAGCGATCAAGGTCATTCCCTTTCCTGAAACTACTATTAAAAATGTCCCATACCTATCTTTTCAAAAATATTGATTGAGGCACGTGTTCCTTTTTTTTTTTTTAATTTCCGATTTAAAAGAATTCATGAATACTGTATTTATGACGTGTAGGCAGTTGAAGCGAGCTGCAGGACTCGATAACCTTCTTTACACACCAGATGCCGATTTCTCCTGCTTTGCTGACCTAGCTCTTGCTTCTCCGGAAGATTACTACATTGAGGGACAAGGTTCACTTCTCCAGTAAGAACGGAATTTGGCACTGTTTTTATTATTTGAACTTCGTTATTTTGTGCATTCGAAGAAAAAAGGCAATGAGCATCAACTGATAATATTCTTTCCCTTATTTCAAAGTTATGTGTCTGTGTTTGCTTTTCATTTTCGATCATAGTTACAGAATTCATTTATCGTCTTTTTCAGATGTGTTCTGACACCAGGCGATCCATACATGTCCTTACCAAATGATGAAATTGTAAGAAGAGTTGCAGAACAGGTTAGTGGCTTCAAAAGAAAACTTTCCCATTTCATAAGTAATTTCACGGAAGCTAGGAAGAGAAACACTTTAGTCGGAACAAATTCTATACGAAATGGGTTATACTGAGTTTGTATAACCCATTCTTGATTTATTTACATATTCGCTCTTTTACAGGATGCTGTGTTTGCATTTTGTTCGATTCTCATTTAATTTCTGATCAATTCTAGTTCTAATTCTCGAATGAAAATTGAACCAAACGCGAGCTTGTTCTCATAGTTTCTGTTTTACCAGGTTTTGACCTTGTTCCCTTCATCACAAGGCTTAGAAGTTATCTGGTCATCTGTTGTCAAAATTGGGCAATCCTTATACCGCGAAGCACCCGGTAAAGATCCATTCAGACCGGATCAGAAGACGCCTGTAAATAATTTCTTCCTTGCCGGCTCATATACAAAACAGGTATGTACTTTTTCTTTTACTACACTTCTACACTCCATAATACTACTGCCTGGTACATGGATATGTCAAAATTCTCCCCGATATTCTGTGTTTCCGAGTTGCAAAATGATCAATCGATAGATTGGCATGTCTCAACTCTCAACCAATTCAAGTATATGCTTATCTACCGTGAACAGGACTACATAGACAGTATGGAAGGTGCAACATTGTCGGGGAGACAAGCTTCGGCCTATATATGTGACGCGGGGGAAGATTTGCTGGCGATGCGGAAAAAACTCCAAATGATTGAGTCTCTAGAACAAACAAAGCCTGCAAATATTCCTGATGAGTTGAGTGTTGTATGATGCTTCAAAATTGATTCTTCAAGCTTTGAGCAAAGCAACCTCAAAGAAATTCTTGGAACATCTAGATTTCCATCATTGTTCAATATGTTATGTATACTGAAATTAGTGAAGAGAATATAAAATATATCATGTAATTGTCATATTTGTTGTACAATGGATCTTGGAGATCATCAATATATGTATATGTGTTAGGGCAAATGCTGGCTACTTCCAAATTACAAATGAAATAATTGACAATTTCTAATAAATGTGGGATTTTATTAATTGAGCTCATCAAAAGGAACTATATTGCTTTAATATCAAAGAACAGTCTCTAAAATTTCAGAAATGGAGATATTTGGAAATTAGAAATTTCTGAAATACAGAAAATAAAAATTATATTTAAAAAATGAGTAATGTTTTTTTTTTAATTTCCTTAATTTTATCTTAAAAATTATGCATATAAATTATCTTAATTAAAAGTAAAGAATATTAATTCGAAAAGATAGTGCCCTCAATAATTGTAAACCTTTGGGGAAAAACTTCATAACCATTAAAAATAAGCGAATAATCTTTCTAAAACACAGGGTGTAATGACCCCAGAATGCTTAAGGAAATAAATTATAACTTAAATACGGAAGCGAAATAAATAGTTAAGATTTACATTCCTTATACATAAACTTAAAGCCCTAAATAGTGCTATGAGAATTAACTTTTTGAAGGAAATATAAAAAAATAAAAAAATAAATAAAATTGGTATCTTATTTGCAACCTTCTTGTGGATCGAGTTCTGAATCCTGATTCTCTTGATTTGAAATGATTAAATAAGGGATGAGCTATACTACCCCAATAAGAATATCACGATACTCACCGATACAGAAATGAAGGTTGGTATAAAATCAAAACAACTAATGGAGCACTTAATTAAACAAATACATTTCTTAATAATAAAACTATTTACTATTCACTTACTGCAGCGAGATTTATAAAAGCAACCTATAATGTAACGCCCGGAAAATTGGGAAATTTTGTTATTTTATTATTAATTATTTTTATTAAGTTTTTTTTTTAAAAGAGTGCCACGTCAGCAGCCACGTCAGCAGTCCTGACCAACCAGGACCTGCCACGTGGTAAGACCACGTCGACTGGGGACGGGCCACGTTGGCGATCCGCGTACGCGCGATCGGATGGCTCAGATCAAGCGTGCGCACGGACGGCCCAGATGCAATCGCACGGACGACCTAGATTCAATAAAAAACGGACGGCCTATATTAAATCAAAATGAACGGCTGAGATCAAAAGGCAAAAGGGTATAAATAGAACCCCCACACCTGACCACAAAAACCCTAGCCGCCTGCCCTCGCCGGAGAAGCCGGCTGCCGCCACCCGCCGCCACACCGGGGAGATTTCCGACCGCCGATCGAGGTAAATTTCATACCCCCGACTCATTTTTCCACGCTGATTTCCCCTGTGGTCAAATCAGAGCCAAAATCCCGGCCAAACGGCCGGAAAACACGGCCGAAACCCAGCGGCGCCGCCGTGCCCCTCCTCGGTTTTTGCCTCCGATGAGGCCCTTCCCGGCCTCCGTTTGATGCAATTTTTATATCACCGTGATCACCATTCTTTTCTCTACAGGTTGATCGGAGCTGAATCACCAAAACACGAACCTCACCGGAGAGCCGCCGCACCCGAGAGCACCGCCGCCGGTAAGCTTCGGTTTTCCGTAATTTTTTGGCCCCCCGAGGGCCCTAGGGTTGTTTTATCGCAGGGACTGATGCAAGTGTGGCCGAATTCGGCCGGAAACGGCCGAAAACGGCCAACCCGAGGTGAATCGCCGCCGCAAGCGGCGGCACCGTCGCCGGAGCACGCCGGAGCCGCCGTGCCGGAATTGCGATATTGGCCAAAAAGGGGCCTTGGGCCTAATTTGGGATTTTTTGGAACACGTGCAGGTACCGTAGTGCGTTTCAGTTCCCCGAAAAAAATTTAGGGAAAATTAGGGACAACCTGTAGGCGCATTGTGAAGCCGTGTTCGGACCCCGAAATGAGTAAGACCCCTCACCCTATTTCCTATCACGGTATTAAAGTTCAATAATGATAAAACGGTATTTCTTGAATCAACGAATGTGTGAAATTGCTTAAGGTCGCTAATGGAGCCCGAGTCTAGTGTGTTTGTCGGTTAACTGTTATTTGACCTATTTTACAGTTTTAAATGCAGTATGAGGTCTGATGTTTTCATTTCATAGTTTCGTGTACATATTTTACTGTTTTATTGATTATGGGTTGAATGACTGAGATACCGATGCTGTATGTTGTCTGTTTGGCATAAATTACTGTTTTGCTTGTTTGTATGTGAATTGATGATGCTGACTGAGGAAAAGGAGAATGAAAGATTATGTGGATTGATAATTGTATAATGTGGTCAGCCTGACTAGATATCCTGGGAGATGGTGGACGGACCGGGTCCGTAGGGAACCCTACCGGGATTGTGGTCTCTCATACCGGACGGGGTATGGAGACCCTATGTGTTTTGGCGCCAATACCGGACGGGGTATGGGGACGACCCGTTTCACCCTCATACCGGAGGGGTATTGAGGTTTATAGTTTTGGCGCTCATACCGGACGGGTTATGGGGACGGTCCTGGAATCTGATTACAAGTGTTAAGGGTAACGGGTAGCGGGACCCCTATGGATCCCCATGGATACTAGTAGGCTAGTAAATGAGGAAAATATGTTGTGTAATGATTGAATTACAAAAGGCGTGATAAGTATTATGTTATGCAGTTTATATGATTTCATGATGATGATAATGTTATTGCTTTCGTATATCGTTTTATGAATTTCACCGAGGTAAGTGGATGGTAAATGTTTTATTATTAATAAAAGGATTTGTTGTAAATCATGCTCCATTGGTCTTTTTGTGTTTTCTACCCACCTTTACCTCCGTGACGGTGAGATATCGTGATGTCTTTACTGGGCTAGTGTAGCTTATCCTTTATTTAATCATTTCAGATCAAGAAGACATTGTTCCCGAGCCCGTCCCGCATGAAGACGACGAAGGGGACGCCTAAAGACTCCATAGTCATATTCAAAGCTTTTACTTTCGAGTCTCTCTTTTAGTTAGTTTGATCTTTTATATTTTGAGCATGTTTTTGGTTTTAGTGTAAGGGATGTTAATCGAAATTTTGACTTCGCTTCCGCATTTGACATTTTTAATACACATATTTCATTTTAAATTTCCGGGGTCGTTACATATAAAGACAAAAACATGACACTTATTATGATTTCATATGCAATTCAGGTACACATTATAAATCCATATTCAATAAATCAAACAATAACCTTTCATTTTATCAGCCAACTGATATTCATGGGGGTTCATAGGGATATTCCCGCTACGCGTAAACCATTTCCTTCAACATTCTCAATTAAAGGGCCGTCTCCACATCCCGTCTGGTATGAGTGCCAAATCATTAAACCTCAATACCCCGTCCAGTATCAGGGTGAAACGGGCAGTTCCCATACTCCATCCGGTATAAATGCCAAATTACCAAGTCTTGATACCCCGTTTGGTATGAGACAACGTTCACGGTAAGGTTCCTTATTATACCCGGTCCGTTTACCATCTCTTAAGATATCCAGTAAGGCTGTCGTTTCATTCATTCACTTAATCACACAATTTTTCCGTTTTCCTTTAGTCTCCATTTTCTAAATCAATCTTAATCACATAAATAAACAAACATGCATAAGGGAATGCAATCATATCTCGGTTTTTCAATTTAACAGTAGTCACATAAGACAACAATACATGCATTCAAACCATAAAAGCAATAAATCAGATACTATCATGCATTTAATACTATAAAATAAATCAACAGAAATCAATTTCCGGTTTTGACTCTGTTAGTAACCCGCAATTAATTATAGATATTTTATAAGTTTTACGAAATACCATATTATTTAAAATTAAACTTCAATTCCATAACAAAAGATAGGGTGAGAAATTCTTACTCAATTTGATGTCCGAAAGGCTAAACTGTTGACTGCGCCTACTGGCGGTCCCCAGGTTCCCTGAATTTTTTTTCGGAAATTAAAATGCACTATAAGTACCTACAAATGTCCCAAAAAACTCAAAATCAACCCCAGGGTCCAATTTTGGCCAATTCTGAAATTCCAGCACGGCGGTTCTGTCGTGCTTCGGCGACGGTCCGCCTCGTGTCAGTTGTTTTCAGCTGATTTTGTATAGATCCCTACGAGAAAACACGTTAAGGGGCCTCAGTTGGTCGAAAAAATAAAAAAAAATTACAATTCACCGGCGGTGGGGCTCTCTGGTGCTGCGGCTCTTCCAGCTCAAATTGCGATTGGCTGTTTTGCTCTAGTCAACATGTAGAGAAGGAAATGGTGATCACAATGGTAGAAAAATTACACCGAATGAAAATCGAAAAATGCCTCATCATAGGCATTTTATGAAATTCCCTGCGGTGGCGCCGCCGGACTTTGCCGGCAGTTTCTGACCAATTGGGCAGTCCTTTTACTCCAATTTGGTCATAGAGGTGTTTAAAATTGAATTCCGAGCAAAGAAATTTTTTTAACCTTTTTTGACGATCGAAAAGGGCTCCGGTGCGGCGACGACTGGGTCTTCTTCTCCGGTGAGGGCGACTTGCGGCTAGGGTTAGGGTTTGGTGTGAAGAGGATTATTTATACTTGTCTTCTTTTAATCTGGACCGTCAATCGCGTTTGATTTGAACTGTCTGATCGCGATTAAATAGGGAGTGAATCTGAACCGTTCATCGCGATCTAATCTGAACCGTCCGATCGTGTTTAAATCTAACCGTCCAGTCGCGTTTGGGGAGAAAATGCATCCGGGCCGTCCGTGCACGCAGGAATGGATATGAGTCGTTCGATCGAGGGCACGTGGATCACCCGCGTGGCACCGCGTCAGCGCCCGTTGTCACGCGATGCGTCCTGATTTGTCGGGACTGCTGACAGGGCATCCTACGTGACAAAACTTTTCTAAATTATATTTCGACTTCCGGTTTTCGATTTTTCTTTCAAAAATACCCACAGAACCCAAATTTTTACTATTTTTTTCCAAAATTATTTTCAATTTCATTCTCCATCAAATTTACTTCATTTTTACTCTAAATTAAAATTAAAAATTAAAAAAAAAATACATTTAAATTAACTTAATTCACATTAAATTTAAACTTGGGCATTACACAGAATTGGTTTCTTTTCTATATCTCCATTTAATTCAGTTTCATTACATGCAGAAAAAGACAAGTTCAGAACAACTATGAACATATATTATATTTGCATGGCATATTAATTTATTGTTTATTATATAATAATATATGCATACACAGTCTTGAGCAAACATATTATAAAAGTTGCATATTTCTATATTACTACAAGTACGAGAAGAAAACCTAGATAGTTGCAGGAATTCTTAGATCTCATTGCCTTCTATTCTCTGGAAAAGAATGGAGAAAGATCATTCCCAAGAGAAAAAATGGGAACAAAAATGTTAATAGAAAAGAAGCAGATGAGTTACAAGCTGTGGATTAGACTAAGATATGGCAAGTTACTCTCCTTCTTATCTATCCTTTTAGAGAGATTTGGCAACTTAGGTTCCAATCTCTCCCTCCGAGAAAAGGAAAAAAAAAAAACCTGGATATTGTAGTAGCTGCATTGTCCTTCTTTTGAGCCTTAAGAAGTGTCATGAATAAAATATATCATTTGTCCAAAATCTTAAATGGCTTAGGAAAATTGATCCCTTTGTCATCCAATCTATAAGCAAAATACATAGTAATGGTGAACTTAAGGTAATCTGACATGAAATCAAACAAATACGATATCATGTAATGACTTACATATATATATCGAGGCATCCTATCTAAGAAGGTAAAAGTGCCTAATGACTATAATGTTGGTGCATTGTCGGAAACGAAATCATAGATCTTATATCAAACAAGTACAATATCCTGTAATGATTTATATATATTGGTTCACTCTGTCTATCTATTGTTGCCTAATGGCTTAACAATTTCAGTTGGTGACAGAACTAATTTAAGTCATGGAGACAAGGTTGACAACAAATTGGCTCAGAATTGTCTCTATATATGATACTTCAAGACAATGCTGCTAAATAATGGAAGTACATGCTCCACTACACAATATGTAATAGTCTGGAATTTAAATAGAAATAAATTTATAAATTAAATGCGGAAGCGAATAATAGAGTTAGGGTTTATATTTCTTATACAATAATTTAGAATGTCAAATAGAATTGCAGGAATGTCCTTTATAAAAGAATAAATAGAAATTAAAAAAATAAACGAAAAGCGAATAATTAAGCACCCTATAACGACCTTCACTAGCTTTTGAAGAGAGTTCGGGTGGTGAACTAGTCGCAACCTTCTTGTTGATCGAAATTTAGATTTTGGCCCTCTTGATATGGAATAATTAATAAAATGGTGAGCTACACTATCCCAGTAAGAATATCACACTAATCACAGATATAGAAAACTGAAGATTGATAAAAAAAAATCAGAAAAACAACTAATGGAACCCTTAATTTAATGTAAATTCATTTAATATAAAAAAACTATTTATTTCGTATTTACGTAACAAGTTTTTTGAAAAACAACATATGAAAATCCATATTCATATATTTTTTTTTATTTTCACATATAAGACAATAAGAGACGATCACTTTCTATTTTTTACTCGCTTACCAGTACCCCTAAAGGTCCATAGGGATGTCCCCCTACTCGTGAACCCCATAACTAATTAAACATTTAACCGGCCATTCCCATACCCATTCCGGTAATGGGCGCCAAACATTCTACCACCTCGATACCCTGTCCAATATAAGGGTGAACCATATCTGCCAAACCTTACTGGTAAAGGACTTCCCAACCCCGTCCGACTGAGGTAACGTTCATGGTAGAGTTCTCTATGTATCGGGCCCGTCCGCCCTTTCTCGAGTACCTAATAAGTCTTTCACATACAGATTTCCATCAATATACAATCAACCACGTATACCAATATCTCATTTTATATTTACAATCAATAAACGGCATTTA